CTTTCCCACTTCCTTGACCACCATATGCTGGTTAAACATAGATGATCACACAACACTCATCAGAACTTTAATGCTGGTAGTACACTGAATATGTAAATTGCAATCCATCTTACTATGAACTCATGGACAATAAAGAAGCCACTGCTAATGCTATGAAAATGAAACACCAGAGGATTTTTTGTACTAAATATTAGAAGTTTAGTAATTCAAGCTTTTCTTCTTTTACCTTGGAGCAAATGAAGAAAACAACAGTAAGGAAAACAAATGCAGAAAAAGGAAAGTGTTATCAAAACTGCTTTCTCCCTGACTAACCTATTGCCAGGTTTTACTTGTTTACGCTGCTTTCCCTCACATGCCAAACAGCCAGGCACTTCAGGCATGTTGACTAAAATTTGGCAAGATGGCAAAACCACAAGTGTTAGATTTGTTTTCTAGGACACAAAATGGCATCCTGTGGGTTCTGTTGGTCAGCCTGGTTTTTTCTTTGCTGTCTTTCCATATGTGCACTTTGTCAGATGAATCCAAAACTGCCTTGTCACATTTTGCCTGCTGTAGTGAAAAAAGGATTTGTCTCATAGTCAGAGGTCCCCTAAGCCATAGGGAGCATAATGTTGACTCCATACCTCAAAATACTGTTTTAAACAGAAGTGTCAGTAGAGATCACATGTGGCTCCTGAGCTCCTTCAGACTCTTGAGTAAGGAGATGACCACTGCCCTCAATTGCTTAAAAGGTCAAGGCTTGCAGCTACCCAAAACTTCAAACAGCAGGAATGAAAACCCAATTTGAATTTATATACCCAATTTCAAACCACTGTAGTTTTTCCACAGATACATCTTCCTGCAGACTGGACATGGACTACAGAAGACCATGACACTTCCATTGCATCCAAGAAGGACTGATCTACGGCTGCTTCAAATTTGTTACCCGACTTGGAAGTGACAGCAAATAAATAAACAAATAAAGGCATCTGGAAATTCAATCCCAGCAATTCAAGCAGGCTATGAGGGGCTAAGAGCAGCACTAACAGTACTAGAAAATTCAGTTGTTATGACTTCAGGATCACTCAAGTTTCAGCTGGACTAGGACTCTGCTTCTACAGTCTCCTCGTTTGCTCTGTAGTTTAGCAATCCCTTCCTTCCACTGAGAAATGGCTTTGCCTGCACTTCTTCCTGCTGATTTATACTCARGATACTGCAAAGGGGAAACTTAACACCTGAGAGTCAGGAGCCTCAAAAACAACCAGCACCAAAATCCTGTGTTTGTGGCACATTCCCAACCAAGCTCTTGGCGCTGATTTTGGCACCTGAGGAAACTCTGCTGTGAAAATCCATGACAGAAAAGCCATGGACAATATGGATGAACACAGATGTTTGATCATAGCTTTCTTTCCACTACTAATGCACTATGGCCCATTCCCAGAACCAAAAATAATCTGGGTTTTATATGGAATCCAAACTTGTAAGTCCTTTCAACACGAACGCCTATTTCTTATATAAATAYTCTTAAACTGGCTGCTGACTGTTTTATGAAGAAATGCAACACTAACAAATCCAGGTACTTGCTTCAGAAAGCAGAACTACATTACAAGAGTCTGGTGTTAAGAAGAGCATGGACACACTGCTCTGAGTCTTCATTTGCAATATTTAGGCTTTTGTCTTGACCAGGTCTCCCCTCCTGCACCATCAGGACCAGAAAACGTGTGATGATCCACCTGAAAAACATCACTGACACATGTTAGTGTAACACTTACAGAGGCAGAAGTGTTGTTCAGTGTTGTAAGCACATGACTGGAGAATGGCAATTAAAGGAGAACSAGCAAGCAGCAGCAGCCCCTGCACAGGCTGGTCTTTGACCTTGTTCACCCAATTCCCAATGGCAATTGATGGCTTTACTTTTGCTTTAGAGCACCTGGCAGTCATCAAACAGGAAATTAAAATGGGAAAAGCCAGCCCAGATGGACATTCAGCCAGAAATCAGAGAAGAAATGTGGTGCTGTTATGGAAGGCTGTTGTGATCCATTTCCAACATAACAGGGATAAACTGTGCCCTCCATGCAACAGGATTCACCTCCTTGTACACACCACAGCAGAGCCACRATCAAAAAATTTGCAAACATCTAAGTTAAAAAACCCTAATGCCTCCTGGCTGTGTGATACTGTAAAGAGAAACTTGGTCCCTGGGGYTCCTGGTTGAGCYGGGARGGGTCGAGGWCCCAMGGAACCCAAGGATGGTGTGGAAGCACAGGAACARGCAYGGATGTCCCATCCCTGGAAGCRTTCACCRCCCAGYTGGATGGGACTCTSAGCARCCTGGTCTAGTGGAAGGTGTCCCTGCCCACGGCAGGGRACTGGARTGAGATGATCGTTTAGGTCCCTTCCAATCCAAGCCATTCTAYGATGCCCAGGTAAATCTTCAGCCACAATCTTCTGCTGCACTCAGCCACACGAAGCAGGGGAAGCATGCAGCAGAACCCCTTTCCCTTCCGCGACTGAAGAAATTCAGAGTTTTACTCACGCACGAGGTATCCCGAGAAGCCCAAATTCCCGGGTGTTGCCAATCCCGTCCTTCGCGCTTTTCCACCGCGGCCGCTGTGCACGGGCAGTGCCCACCCCGCCCTCACGCCCGCGAGACATCGCGAGATTTGCCGTGAGTCTCGCGCCAAGCGCGCGCGGCAGCCCGCGCCACGTGACAGCCGCGGGGGCGCGCGCGCGCCGGCAGGGGCCGCTCCACCTGTCACGGGCTCCCGGGGGAGGGAGGGGGGGGGCGTGGGCGAAACCAACGGCGGGGGCGGCCCCCGCCCTTCCGCACGAGCGTTACCCGCCGCCCACGCATCCCCCTCGCAGTCCCCTWCAGTCCCGTCCCCGCTCCGGGAAGCCTTTATTTTCCGTTTATGCCAAGAGCGCCACGCCCGAGGCAGGGCGGGGCGGGGGGTGCGAGCGTGCCTGCCGCCCCCCACCGGTGAGACATGGCGCCTTCCTCAGCGGCGTCCACTCCCCCAGCCCGGAGCCCCCGTTACGCAACTCCACCCGTGAGCGCAGCCCGCCCTCGTTCCTCCTCCTCTTCCCACCMCAGCGCCCGCCACTCCCGACATTTCCCCCCTCCCCCGCCGGCCGGTTTTAAAGGCGCACCGCAACCTRCTGGTGCTCGCTAATCTAAAAGCTCGTCTGATTGACGGCCCGTTCGACCTATCAAAAACAGCGGCTCCCCGAAACCCCGCCCCACCGCTCATCCACCGACCAATGGCGCGAGGCCGGCGGGGGAGGCGGGCGGCGAGGGCCAACCAAACCGGAGCGCAGCGGCGGTGGAGCGCTATGACTGACGTAAGTCAACAAAGGTCACGTGGGGCTCGGCGGCGGCGCCGATTGGCTGCGCGGACGCGGGCGGGCGGGGCGGGACGGGGGGGTCGCGGTGGCGGCGCGCAGGGTCCGCGGTGTGACACAATTACAACAACTTTGGGCAGCGGCTCCGGGGAAGTTTGTACGGGCGGCAAAACACACCCTGAGCCGCGGGGCGGGCAGGGAGGGTCCCCCTGGCTCCCCGACACCCCGGCTCCCCGCGCCGCCGGCGGCGAGCGGCGATGTAAACACCGCTCCGCCGCCATCCGCAGCCGCCGCCTCCTCCTCCTCCCCCGAGTCTCCAGCGCTGGGGCTCCCTCCCCCCTCCTTCCCTCCCTCCCTCCCTCCTCCTCCGAGCAGCGGGGCTTCCCCCCGCCTCCCTCCCTCCCTCTCCCCTCCCCTCCCTCCCTCCCTCCCCCTCCCTGCCGGCTGTTGTTGTTGTAATAAAAGTTGTGGTGTGTGTGTGTGTCGGGCACCCCGCCCCGCCCGGCGCTGGGGGGTGTTGGGGGCGCGCAGGGAGGGGGGGGTGCGATCCGCGAGTTAATTACGCTGCGTTTCCATGAAATCGTGCGGAGTGTCGCTCGCCGCCGCCGCCTCTGCTGCTCCTTTCGGTGATGAGGAAAAGAAAATGGCGGCGGGGAAAGCGAGCGGCCAGAGCGAGGAGGACTTCGCCAGCTTGACAGCCCAGGAGAGAGAAGCCCTATCCGGCCTCGACAGGTACCCGCTCCCCACTGCGCCCCGGCCGCCTCCGTGTCCCGGCTCGGCCCGCGCTCCCTCCGTGTCCCCCCGCTCCCCTGCCCGCGGCTCCCCGTGTGCCGCCGCTCCCGGGCCGCGCTCTGCCCTCGCCCGCCCGCCGCGCTGACTCTCGCTAACGCCGGTGCCTCTCTCTCCCCTCCCTCCCGCCCGCTCCCCTCCTCGCAGCCGGCTCTTCGGATTTCTGAGGCTTCATGAAGATGGCGCCAGAACGAAGGCCTTGCTGTTAAAGGTAAGCGCGAGGGTGGATGTGGAGCGGGGATGGGGGGGAGGGGGGGGGGAGAAACGGGGGATGGGGAGCGAGGCGGCCCCGCCGCCCCTTCCCGCGGGACCCCCGGGCCCGCACGGTGAGTGTGTGCAGGGGGTGTGCGGGGGGCACCGCCACCTCCGCGGGGTCTCCGCGCGTTGCTGCCGCCTTTGCCCCTTTCCTTTCCCCCCCCCCTGCCCCCCCTCCCCGCCATTCTCCCCGAGCGGGACGAGGGGAGCGTGGCCATGCGGGTGCCCGTCCAGCCCCGGGACGGGAAAGTGGCGGAGCCCGGGGCCGGGAGCGGACGGGCCGGGGGAGGGGGCGCGGGGGCGGAGGGGGGGAGGCGGAGGACGAGGAGGAGGAGGCGGCAGCGGGGGGAGAGCGAGCGAAGGAGGGAGGGCGCGCTCGGCGCTGCTGACGTTGCCTCTCCCCCGACCCTCCCTTGTGATTTTCGCCCCCAGTCGCCGGGAGCGGAGCCGGGGCCGGAGCCCACAGGGAGCGTGGGGTCCGGGCCGGGGCGGGCGCGGCGCCCAGCGGCTCCCGGAGCCCGTCAGAGTGACTTGTTTACTCTGCGGGCCCCGCTGCCTCCCGCCAGCGTGCCCGGTCCTCGCCGAGCCCCGCGTCCCGCCCGCCGGCCCGGCTTGACAGGGAGCGGGGCGTCCCGCGGGCTGCTGCTGCCCGGCCCGGTGTCCGGAGAGAGGTGTTTATCTCTCTGGAAAGTTGTTGGCCCTGTCATTTAGTTAAGTAATGGCTGCTCCTGTCGGCCCAAGATGGCCGGACAGGGAGGAGAAAGAGAAGCGGGGGGAGGTAAACACGAAACAAACACCGGGAGCGAATGTGGGGAGCGTGGAGCCCCCGGTGAAGGCTGAGGGAAACTCTCCTGCGCATCGCAAGTTCTTTCTGGGCGCTTTCCTGCTGCTTTGCAGCGCCGGTGCCCTCCCTATCAACCTGTGGCACGTTCTGCTGCCCGTCCGTGAGCTGCTGACAAAGGCTGTGCGGGCCGAGTGTCTGCCAGCTGTGCTTAAACACCAACGCCAGGGAAACGTTCGGSTAACAGAATGAGTGGAACTGTTTTTAAAATGCCGCACGGCTGAAGCAGAGGGGACCGGTGCTCCTCTGGTTCCTGCTTCCTGGCTTGTTCCTGTCAGTAGCCTGGCGTTTGACACTGCTCATCCCATTGTTGTGCTCGGGCTGTAGCGTGGAGAATTTTTTTTTTTCTTYTGCTGCTGGTTTTGGTCGAGCTAAAGATTTCACTCCGAAGCGTGTTGAATTGGATAGCCTAGACCTTTACTTGTGTTTGGTGTTTATTTCTGGCAGGATTGGAAATGCTCAATGTCAGGACATGGGGGGGAAGGGGGAGGAATGGAAGGAAAAGCAAGTACACTTTGCTTTGTACTTATATTTAAAAAAAAATATCTCGTGGTTTCCTTTCGATTTTCAGAGTTATTTATAAGAGCGCTTCTTCCCATTAATCAGAAAGGTAGGGGAGTGACATGTCAGACCAGTTAGAAAATGTACGTTAACTGTTGGTGGACCAGAACTTGCGTCTGCCCTGTAAATGCTGCTGAGGCTAYCGGGAATATTAGACTGAATCCCATACGGGACAGAGCTTAAGGATGCCAGATAGAAAATAAAAGCTTCACATCTAATTAGATCATCTGTCGCATAAAATCCCTGAGTTAAGTTGTATTTTGTGTACTGTAAAATTAAGTAGTCCAAGCAGCAATTCAGCCTATTAGTTGAGTTTTGTACCTTTCTTATGTGTAATACATTTTATTTATTGCCAGTCAATTATAGTGTTAGTATGTTCTGTCTGAAGTTTTGAAGCATTTTGCTAGCTTTGAAATACGTTTTTAGAAACATCRTTGTATGTTATTTTTTTGTATTAAAGTGCAAATTCATGCAGTGAATACTAAAAAAMCCCAACAAAACCAAATATTTTGCTTTTTCACCTCAGTTTTCAGATGGTATTTTGTACATTTATGAATTGCACAGTAACTCACAAAGCATGTTCTTAGGTAAAACTTCTGAGAAAGGCAGATTATTTAAGGAAGTAAAAGGATTAAAACGTTKCTGTTCAGTGCAGAGATGTTCGAGAGGAATTTCTTGGCTTGAACCAGTTTCGGTTTTGTTTGTGCTTTTTACTTTGAGGGAATGTGCTTGTGTTTCTCTTACCGATCAGTAAGAAGTTGCTATTTTTAAGGTATTTTCTACTTCATTCCTTTTCTGTATGTGTGAAGCTGCATGCAATTTATGCTCTATTGAAAGCTTTAGAACAATTAATCTAGCAGACCGCTTTAATTCAATGTAGCAGTTATTTTTATTGTAGAAACTGTGGCCGTATAAGCGTGCAGTTAATTAATAGGTTTTACAGTGATAGCAACAAAATGTTTCCTTTTGTGCATGGAGCAACAACAGCTAACAAAGACCCTAGACTCCATAATTATGAAATCCTGACTGAGTGATTTAAGAATCTACATGGCAGCACGTTACAGTGTGAGATTTATGTGCAAGTGTTTCTGTAAGGTAAGGAAAACCATTGAGTCATGTTTCCAGAGGAATCCTTCACAAAGGCAGACATTTATCCGTGCTCTCCTCCATGTGAGAGGAGCACACCCGCTATTGAACCTTTTCCAGAGGCTGCCAGGCTGTAGCAGTGAGTGCTCTGTGGGGCCTGGCCATGCTCCGTGGTTACCTGTGGTTGAGGTGGCAGGAGCAGGGTACCTGTCTGGGGAGACTGACAGGAGATCCTGGGTTTTAACTCYGTTACCTGCCTGGGTGCTATTGCAGCAGGAGGAGCCTGTTCTGGGYTTAAATTTGGTGCCTGGGTGCAAGAAGTCACTCGTTATTTTTGGAGGGTTCAGTAGGGTGTGAACTGGCTTGGAGGAGATTGCACGAGGCCTTTGCAGCAGGAACTTCAGTTTAATGAAACCACACATTGACAGAATTTAATAATAAGAAAACTTGGATCTCTTTGTGGGATGGAGGAAGATGTCTTCATGTCTAGAGCGTTAATTTAGGGTTCTGTTCAGGTTCTATTCATGCTCCAGGTCTGTAGTCCCCCATTTTTGGTAGTTCTGCTTTGTMGGATGTAGGGGCTGTAGTACTGTGAACTAAGCCGAGCTCTGCTGCTGGGCGTAGCAAATCAAAAAAGCAGATTATACTTGAGATCTATATGATTTTATGAATTATTGAAGGTGTGGAATAAGGGTCAGGAATATTGTAATGTTGCCCTCTGCATTGGATATGTGATAAACCAGAAGAAATCAAACTTCCCTGTGATGGTGTGCATACTGTA